AAATAGTCCCCTGCAGGGCTCTTGCCTCCCCCGTGTCCCCGTCCTTCTCCCTTGCCTGTGGCCCCGTCGGAGAAACTCGCCAAAAGGACGTCTAGAGCTGCGCCGGTACGTGACGCAGACGCAGGCACAGGCGGGGGCTGGCGGTAGCGGCGACACGCCCTGGCGCGCCCCGCTTCCGCCTTGGCGGCGGCGGCGGGCAAGGTCGGGGTCTCTCGGAATGCATCACGCACGTGCGGCAGCGGCCCGTGGCTGGGAGTGCTCTACGTATGTGCTAACGAGACTTAAACAGTGTCTCGGAGAGGTGGCGTCGCGGTCACTGCATTTTCTTGGACGTTCCAAGGCGAGTTTCTCAAATTTGAGACCTTGCGAAACGCAAGAAATAACTATATAGTAGGAAACTGGACACTACTTAACAATCTAAAGCTGAAGCATGCAGTGCCGCTGAACCAGACTCGACCAAACCCCATCCAACATTCTAGGTTAATTAACAACTCTAATGTCGAACTTCCCAAGATTGTGGGCGCTGCTTTATTCTGGATCTAAAGCGAGGGGGGTTTTAATCGAAAGGTAGCAGCGTGGACCTGGAAAATACCATTTCCTATTATTGGAAGACAACGCATCCAAAATTAAAGGCTCTGGGAGGGGAAAATGCTCCAGCTCAGACATCCCAAAACTCGGGGCTAGAAAAACGTGTAACGTACGTTCTTATACGCCAGTTAAATAATGTCAATGGCTAGTCGACAGATTTTCCAAACAGACTCGGTGAAATGAAACTCAGTGAGTAACAACACACTAAGATTATTACAGAAGCAAAATATAAAGTAACACATTTTTAATGAAAAGTCAGAATGGTAGTGAACAGCATACAATATTTCCTTACAACTATATACCTCTACCCCCACTTCTGTTTCCAGATAGAGGTTGGAGAGGGGGTAACACTTGGCGTTACCAGTTAGAGCAAGCGCGCTCGGGGTGGCCCTTATCAGGGAAGGGGATGAGCGCCTCAGGCGAGGTAACTCGAGATATCACGGCGGGTGAAAGGTTGAAGTGACCCTTTGAATTATGTGTAGGTCAAAGTGGCAGGCTTCAGTATCGACGGGATATTCAAAGTTCTATCCGGTAACTTATTGGGGTCACAGAAGGCGCCTCTTCCTCCGATCGCAAAATACAACTTTATCGGGGGGACGTCATGTCCTTTATTTTAATTGAAGGGGTAAGCCCTCTCTTGTTCTGGGGTACATGGTGTACTACGCACCGTCTGTACGTTGGGATATAACACGCTGATATACACGAAAGCTAAAAAGCAGAAGACACCGTTCCCAAACTTTCAGGCTCTAGGAAAAAGGTGCCCTTGTATACCAAAATTCAGGGTGAAGTAAAGTTCGAAGTAAAATCAGTGGAGACTCATGCAAGTTTCTTAAGACGAGGAAATAAGCCAGTTGCATAAAGTAAAAAATTCATTCAACATCCAAACAATTAAGACTGTGAACTTACATTGGGATAAGAGAGCAAGATGTCTCGGTGTGGTTTTCCCGTGTCTTCTACAAACTCAAATTGTAAGATTACACCTGCCTGCTGCTCTGCCCACGTCGGACACACTCATCGGACCTGTGTCTACCAGTGTTCCTTGACGTGTCCTTCTGGTTTAAAAATAAGACAAGACATGTCAGTTGAAGGGAGGAGATTCACTCCTGTCATTTTACCGCCATTAAATCGTTAATTCTTCTCGCCACTTAAGCGGTGAGAGAGATGGGCATTTACACACGAGAGGAAAAAGACTGTTTCCCCTCAGGGAGACTTCGATTGATTACGATTAAAAGCGCGTGTACGTTAAGAACTGGATCAAACAAATTTCTTTATAGTTATAAACTCAAAAGTGTAAATTTCCCTCCCAAGAGTCAAATATTTTATTTGGTAATTACATTCAGACGAAGACGAACTAAAGACGCTCATTATTATTATTATTATTATTATTATTATTATTATTATTATTATTATTTATTATAAATAATAATGATGATAATATCTCCTGCTGATTAAGCCCCGTAAACATATCAGTATAATATTTATGGACGTGTAGAAATGTCAATGTTTAAACAAGCAACATCAGATCTACAATTAACTGATTCCTATTGTTAATTAATAAAATCGGAACTACAATAAATATTTGTGCCCCGAGGTTTTTTTGTTTTTTTTTCGCCCAAGGTCATTAGAACCAATTAACGCTCGTAGTACATGCACGGTGTTTTTTTTTTACTTAATTTTAATTATTCATACTTCCTTAACTAGTTTAGTTCAATTTTAATTAACTAGTTGTTAACTTGTCTCGGTTTGTCACTTCCAACTTCTCACAGAATTCCCTTTCATAATTCCCTCGTAAGAGAACAGGTAGAAACGCTAAACCGTTTTCATATTTCCCTCGTCATCACTATCATGTAGATTCAGGTAAGTTATGCCGTGAGTATTGAGCGCAGTAAGAAGCAATAACGTAATGGTAAAAAAATAAAATGGTATTTTGCCAAACTTCGGGCTCTCGTGATTGTCGTGGGCGTCGCGCAATGTGTCGGGCGAGTGCATGCGCGAGATGAACGTCGCGCGCGCATTGCGGCACGCGGCCGTTACGCAAGCGCCTAGGTTGATTCATAGATGAAAGACGCGGCTTGCGAAAAAAGAACGGCGAAATACGCCCTAGCTATCTAATGCCACCTGAAAGGACTACTTGTATTTGCAGATAGGTTTATTCGCTGAAAATGAGAAATGTTCTGCAATAGGCGTGAGTATGCACATTCGTACTTCGTCGCGGAGAGGTTACTTGATTATTCATTGCACAAATGAGTCTTCTACTCGTTAGTTGTAATGAAGGAATAAAAAATAAAAATTAAATTGGACGAAATAAAAACTTGCGAACGGGAGCAATCTCACCCTACGTGCTGCTACAGAGCCCCGCCGACGTGTAAGAGTCCTAACCTCTTGTTTAAAATGTAGTAATTACTTTTCATTTAATATTTCTCATTATTAATTTCTTTAGTCCATTTCATGAAATTTATTTAATTCAATCAAATCAACTCTTGTCGGCATTCCTCATTTGGTTAACTATAAAATTAATGAAATATTCCATAAAAGTTGAAAGAACTTAACTTTACATTTCACTGTGCTTACGTGCACGCGACACATAACAGGTTTTAGTTTTCTTTTAAGAATTTGTCAAATTAGATAAATTATACGGGTAGGTTGAAAAGACCTTCACCTCTCCATACGAATTTCCACTCATTTTTGCGGTTATACTTTATATTATATTCAATAACGTATTATTCAATAAGTAAATTTTTAAATATGTAGCACTCCCCTTCCCCCTCCCAAAAACACCCTCAATGACAATATTGGAAGAAAGCTATAAGAGTTGAAATGCCATTAAATATTTGGTATTCACGTGTTATGTAACACCAAATGTATTGACATTCTGGCACGTAAATAACTATTGTTCTGAGTGTGTACTACAGTTATTGCAGTATTAATGAATACACTTAAGATTTTTAATTTTTTGTAGTGTTATAAGAGTATTTTATTTATTCTCGCGAAGTGTGGTTACTACATTTTGGGAAAAAAGGTCAGTTTCAGCTGTAGTTTTTGTTGCTGCAGACCACTAGTTTATATATTATTATTTATAATAATGTTAATTTGATTCATTGTAATTGTTCATATCAAATTGTAATATTACTGCTGTCGATTCGCTATTTGAGTTGATGAAAGATAAAATTTTTCAGTGTTATAATTATTCTTTGAATATTTTTCGGTTCTTGGGGTTTGCCAGACATCCAGGGATATCGGTGACTAGTTTTCGAATAATGGAAAATGTTATTTTTTTCTGTTTTGTGCTGCACCTCTAATGAAAAGTAGTGTGACAGTTTACACAATTAGTGTTCTTTAGTTTGCGTTTGCAATATTTGATGGTTATTTCGGGATTTTGTTGCCACTTCCAATAAATTAGTGTCATTACTTCCGAGTGGGATACTCGTCTTACACAGCATGTTTTTCCTCACAATTGCGGCAGTCTCACAGGACATTATATTCAACCTCAAAATACGTACTTCCGTCTAGTACGATGTTTAAAATTTAAAACTTCGGCGCCAATAGCGGTGGCGTCCCTGTCGGCAGCCTGGGACGTTATCCACATTTCTGGTTTCGAGATTACATTACAATCAAATATGCGAACAGACTTATTACCTCTGCTTGAATAAATATATCTGCTTTTAATTTTGCCTCCATACCATCGTGGATTCGTTTGATACCATCGTGGAATGCAAAGGCCAGACAAGTACTCTAAGGATAGACATCCAATCACTTTTCAGATAACTAAAACAACTGGTGCATACACGTCAGACGCCAATGTCTCTTTAGTTCCACCAAATTATTATTGTAGTCTCGCTCGTAAACTAATCTGAACTCGTCTAAAAATGTGATTCGTTTAATGGTAAAGCAAGCAAGTGTAAATAATGTTGAGACAAATTTCGAGCCAACAACCTGGATTTACGATTATAAGGATTTGTCCACCCACATCTCCAGGTTTTTGTCCAGCTTCTCTGATCCATTGAGCAAATGCTGAGATGGCCCCTTGTTTTGCTTCTGGACATAAATGTCATTTAATTATGCGCATGGTTTGTTGAACACTCCTTTTGCTAGTAAGGGCTATAGTAGAATCGGAGTCGGTTACTATATTGTTGGCAATACAGACTTATTATTAAAGTATTTATAGTTAAAATATGGGAATAGATTTTTGAGCTCAAGAAAACGGGCCCAAATGGTACTTCTCCCCGTACATCACACATTTTTTTTACTGTGCTTTGACTAAATCAAATTAAAGTTCCTCATGCAATTTCGCATGCAGTATTCACGATAGATTCTGAGCTCTTCGGACGAATTTTGTGAAGGATGTTTATAAATTACTAGGTCTGTATATGCGGACATGAATGAGACGTGTAGACGGATATTTCGTGTTTCAGAACACAGTGACACATTCGAATCCGTCGGAGAAAACTTCGACAACATTCGAGTGGACTCCTCCGGTGGACTTCAACGGCCAAGTGATTTTCAAGTAAGTATAACTATTCAATATAATATGTTCATCAGGGTTGATACGTAAATTAAGTTTCGTACTATTATTGAAGAAAAAAGTGGCAATTGGTTTTCTTCCATTTTCTTAGTTTAGTAGAAGTTAATTAGTAGAAATAACCGCCCAGAAAATTAACGAAGACTTAAATACTCTCAATAAATGAACCGCATCCCGAGGACTCTTAACTTCAATGAAGTCGCGAACCGTGAAAATAGGCTCTTCGGAACGCGATGAACAAATTGGAGAAATCTTCCCCACTGGCAATCAGCGTAGCTGGCTCACCCTTTCTTCTTTGTGCAGCGACGCAAACGGCTTAGGAATTCACATCGGACACACACACACACACACACACACAGCTGGACCATGCAACATAATACTTCGTCAAATGGTAGGATTGATTGAACTGTTTTACGCCATGTGACTGCTTCCTCGTACTGCAGGGCTAGCACCACGGAACGGAACGACCATATCTGAAGGCTTTTGGACGTTTTGTTAGCACAAGTATTAAGGAAAAACAGACCCCCTTAAATAACCGTACTGTTTCTCTGTACAGCGGAAAAAAAGTAGTGTAGTAGCGAAAAAAATTGTTTGGATAAATCTAGTTCCTGTAATTAAATTCGTCTACTTGCTTCTCATTTCTTTTTCACCCTTCTCAGGTTGTTTCTCGGGGGTTTATAGAAAATAAAATAGTATGTGCATGAGAAGCCAAACGAGAGTGGGATCGAACGTTTAAGAAGCGTGCCCAGGAAAGCTTCGTGCTTCCATTAGCCGGTTCATAAATGCATCAAGGAAATGTGACATACGAAGATGAGCAACACTACACCATAAACAATGTCGCGTAACGTACTGGGAGTGAGGAACCTGTGGACGGTTCGTTGAAACTAAGGACCCTTCTCGTAATCTGAATTTGAAAACCTGACTTTTCACTTTGAGATAGTATTATACCGATGAGACATTGTCTTGCACAAGATAATTCTGAATTTTTTTAACTGTTCGTGTGTTTGAATGATGGAACACTTTTCTTGGTTATGTTTAATGTGGCTTACTTGTGATTACAAGACCATGTGCTTGTACTTAGAGAGATCTGATGGTTGATGTTAGGAACTTCTGAGATGTTCGGACTCGTTGAACTAAAATAAAATAAAACAATGTTGAGTGATTGCAGATTCGCGTAATTACCGCACGGTTTATGGAAAAACCTTCTTAAATATTATGAGGTGGCCGTTGTAGAAGTTATAACTGATATGTATACAAGTTAACTAATTTCATTTCTTTATTTTTTGATCTTCTTTGTAACGGCACAACTTCACATTACATTTTTTTTTTCAAAATAAATAAATAAATTGCCTCATATTTCCATCACATTTATGGACTTGTTTAAAGTCTTATCATGCATCGGAATTACGCCCCCAATTTCATCTCTTCTTTAAAGAAGGAATGCATATTGTAAATATGGAAGCGCGTGAAAGCATTGAAATTTTCGGTTTTGAGTTCGAAGTTTCTTCAGTATGAATAAACGTAAACAGTTCATGTCAATCTGTCAAGTCGGTCTTTTAGGAATGGATTGTACTCTTCGCAAGTTCATGAAGCATAAAAACATTGCGTAGTATTTTCAAATGCGAAAACATCATTCGAAAACATCTCATTCGACATTACGACGTTACTCAGGGCAAGTGTGCAGGGCAAGATTTGTCGAAAAATATTTAAAACTTTGTGCACGACCAAGATCGAATTTAGGAAGGTCAATGAAATTTGTCAAAGCAAATATAAAAAACTGAATAATACATAGATATAATTTAGTGTGAATTCCCAAAATTTATTATTAATTAAATACCTTCTGTTTCAACTTGTTTTATTTCGGACTATTTAATCTTCTGAGTAAAATGGATCGCAAAGCGGTTGTCTGATATTTATAAAAAAAGTCTATTTTTCGATCACAATACTTACCCCACTTTTCAAAAATATCGTTAGTTCGACCTTGCTATCGAAAATTCGGCCTTGCCAATTGTGCCAATTAGCTTGGCGACTCAGCCGGTGTCAATTTCTCGCTTTCTCTGCAAAATTCTAATACTCCACCCTAAGGCTCTTTGAAGAGTCGAGCGGGAGATAGTGCTCGCATAACTGCTCGCCTAAGGTGAAAAACTGGAAAATCTGGTCAGTTGTCGCCGTACTCTTTGCAGAATCTCCTGTACCGCCGCACATAACACAGTATAAAGGTGAGCAATGCCGTCACAGGGGTCTGTCCCATGTAGTTTCCCTTCGCTTGAACCACCCTCTGTTTCTCTAAAACAGTGGTAACAAACATGGGTCTGTATCGATCCCTTGGGGTCGATGTAATTTTAAGTCAGTCAAGATATTACGGTGTCGACCGGGGGCCAATAGCGGAATATGACACGACTTACAGATATTAGTTCTCTATTCAGTGAAACTCCAAATGGAACATCATTCAAATGAATTTAACATAAAATTAAATCCAATATACTATACATTCAAAATTCTTTCAAATTCTGCTTTAATGGTGCCAGTTTTTTCTTGAATGTTCATTCGCGCCTAAGATACGGCATATTTTGAGGAAAGTGATATAGATACAGAACTTTTAGATTACAGAACTATACGAATACGAAGTAAATCCCACTCTCGTGATTCTTGTAAACCCCTCTTTATTAAGATACGATTTCTAACATTGACGTACCTCTTGATTTGGTGAATCATCCTCTGTTTCTCTAAAACAGTGGTGTTAAAGAAGTTGCTGAAGGGCCGGAACATACTTCTTTTGCCACCTGTCGGAGCTCAATCGTTACGTTCGATTTCACGTTCTCTACGGTTGCGGAACGTCTCCCTTCGAGGAGTATTTCAATAATAGCTATCACGTCTGGGGATAGAGCCTCGCTGAGGGAGCGAGGGGGAGACAACGTGAATGGGGGAAATCCCCTGCTAGCCGACTTATAGTTCGACGCCGGATCTCACCATTAAGCGAGGAGAAACACCAACTCTCGGGATAAAACATTCACTACACCAACGGGACCATATCAGATGACGTACCGGGAAACGTCAATTTACATCATGTGCAATTTTTTGTATTATTATATTGGCAACAGAATTTCATGTTCCATCATATAATATGCTAAGAGGGTAGGGAGCACGAAAACTGTGGGGAAGTCCATACTCTAAAAGATGAGGGCTGAATTTCACTTTCATCGACGTCCGACGCGATCGAACTACAGAGAACTCGTCAAACTGACGATCAGATATGTAAATTTTTTGAAAGTTTCCGCAAAAATATTCAAAGTTACTTTAATTACGTGTGAACATTACCTGGTCTATAACGGCGTGTATTGGCAAAATAACTTATTTCCATTTTGAAATGACTTTTTCCATTGGTAGAGGCTTGCGCTCACTCTCCAATTTTAGGTAACGTCTTGCAATTTTATTGCCTATAGCTTATTATCCTACGCTTCTACTCGTATCTTGCCTATACATTTTTCTCTCGGATATTTGTGTTTTACATTTAGTTTGGAATGCGTTTATCTGAACACCTCCATACTAACGTCAGTAATAGTTTTATCGCTGTCTTAAAAAGTACATTTCTTAAGAGGGTGACAATTAACTAAAAGGATACTTAGTTTCAATAAACTTCTAATTTGTTGCCGAAGATTAGATAATAAAAAGCTATGGCAACACCCGATGAAAAGAATTTCATTTTACTACACTATTCAAAAATGTAAAGTACAATCACACCCCATAAGGTTGGGAGGCGTATTGATAATGACGTTTTATAACGTGTCTCCGTTCAGTATAAATCACTATAATATTTTTTTAGCCCAAAATGGAAGTCTCAGATCCATTTATATTAACTGTAGTCACGTATGTGGTATTTCTTCGAATTGTTCCATAATTGATACGAATCGATGCTTGCGTCGGCAATTATGCGTTTTCTTACTAAATAGTACATAATAGTTTCGGTGGCAGACGTGAGCTGCTGAGTCTACTAGGTTCCACCATGTAGCATCTTAATGCCAAATTCCTGCCCTATTCTTGTGATGATCTGAGATTGAAGACTGCTTGCGTGCCAGCAGGAGTGAGCTCCTTATGGGGTAGCGTATAGGAGAGCACTAAATAGTAAATGCTTTCTACGTACTAAATGACTCGTGGTTGCCACCAAACATCCATGTTTATTTATATATTTTACAATGTTAGGCTATTTGCGAGCAATAGCGGCAGATTTTTGAATGAGAGTTGAATTTTTGAAAGAATATTTGACATAAGCTAGGGTGAAAGAGCAGTGAAATTAACATTCCACTATAGTTGATCCTACAACTTGGTCTAAAGTCTTTTGGCAAAAGGTTAAATGACGTTTATATGCAAAATATCACAAACATATGGTTGGTGGACGAGTGTGTTTGTAGGAAATGTAAAATTGAAGTTAAAATTCTGAAAATCCATGAAATATTTATTGCAAAAAAAATTGCTTTTTTTAATCACCTTTTTCTGTATTTTAAAATACTGCAAAACAAAACACAACAAAAAAGTAATTTAAATTAATCAATACATTAATGTAAATTACAGAGCAATTGTAAGGTTTCTTATTGAAAAGAATATTAATAACTTGGATGGCAATATACATTTGTTCATCACTGTAGGGGATTGCTTCCTTTTAATAATCTTCCTCTTCCTTTAGTGCAACTGTGGTTCAAGACTACAGCACATTCTGGCAGGGTGTAGTTGCAAAAGCTTTAATTGGTGATCCTGCTCTCACTGGTAGTACAGCAGGCATTTCTACAACACAGCCACCACTCACTACACAACGAACTTCAACAACAAATGCTCCTGTGACTATGGAGCCTGCAATAGTAAGTACATTTGGCCTTTTTTCTACTTGCAAGAACTGTCCTCTGAATCAATATATGTGGGGAAGGATAGTTAATTATGAAGTAAATAAGAGTTGGTAAAGCTTTTCATCACAACAAACACATTAATAAAATACTTAATTGACAAAACTATTGAATCAATAGTTTTGACTAAAAAAACAACAAAGGTTTCTGGAACAAGTCTCATGAATAATAATGGGGGGCCCCCCACCCCCAAGAAAACGAAAGAAAAGTAATGTGTATACATAATTAATGAATAGTTGTGCAGGCTGGTCAGCCAACAAATATTTTTTAATCAAATGAAAGCAAAAAAAAACAAAACCTTTTACCCTTGTGCTGTACCATATGTTTATATATCATTCATTGTTTAATTTATAATTAAATTTTCTAAACTGATTAAAAAGAAACTTTAATGATAATACACTTTGTTTCAGAATTACAGGGCTCTTAGTCCAATTTACATTGGCTGCGGGTCATCAAAAGCATGCTTTGGATATCCTAATGACTGTGATGTAGATGGAAATTGTAATATAATGATGACATCCTTGGAAAGGGGTGACAAATATATATTTGAATTGATGTCTACAGATCCAAGATCTCTGTATGTTGCTATAGGCTTGTCAACTGATCAATTGATGGTGAGTGGCAAAATTTGTGGAACTCAAGTTAGATTAGTTAAACAAAAAATAAGAAATTATATTCTAGAAATTTGTGTTTACTTTTTATCTACTAATGGAACATTTTACAGGTTTTCATTAATAAAACCACTGAAAAATAAATTTGTGTTTAACAGAAACCTTATTCCCATTTTCTTCTTGAAACCACACAGTGCTATTTAGACGTGCTTCATTATGTTTTATAAAGGAGCTGGATACGAAATTTTGCAGAAAAAATTAAAGAAACAGAATGGAATAAATTTATCCTCAATATTACTAATAAATAATACTTCTGATTGCAGTAGCAATGAATATATTTCTTCAACTTGTGAAATACATATTTTGTAAAGTAATATATGGTTTTTCATTTAGAATTTCATTGTTTTATTTTTGGTTTTTAAATCCTAATTTTGATTTTCAGGGAGATGATCTTGTTATGGAATGTGTGGTGATAAATTCAGAAGTTAAACTATTTCAGTCTTGGAATATTCGTCCTAACCCAAGGAAAGGAAACACAAGATTACCTGTGAGTTTGAACTTCAGCATTTATGATATTAAACAATATTGTATAAACATTATGCACTTGTATTTAGTTTTGATTAATATTGAAGCTTCCAGAGTGTTGATTTAAATTTTAAATTTCACTTTGAAATTGTGTTTTTGAAATGGAGTGTTTGTGGATAGTCTCGATCTGCCATTTTGAAGTAAATCCTTTGAATGATTTTCTTTCTTGGCCTCAATGTTGTAGACAAAAAGAAACAACTAAAAATGTACCTTAAAAATTTATGAAAACTGTTTTATTGTTTACTGTGTATACTACTAAAATATTACAATAAAGTTACAAAACTTCTTGTTTAAACAAATGAATTCAAATTCTAGTGAAATCCTTTTCCAGTGAAAATAATAGAACAAAACATTGTTTTATAGCGAAATCTTCATAAATTTTTGATTTGTTTATGCAAAAATTATGAATCTGTTAAAATTATGAATCTGTTAAAATTTTGAGAGTTTAGAATTTCACATCGAGATAAACTTAAAATTGTGGAAATATGCATTTTTTATGTTTTTTTTATATATATTTTTTATTTTTATTTTCAGACTAATGGAAATCTACAACTAATGAATTATTCACATGTTGACAATACAATTTATTGCCAATTTGAAAGAGATGCTGATACAACAGTCAATGATGTCAGATTTAATCTACCTGCATCACAATACTACGTTCTTTTGGCACATGGAGATGAGGTCAAAGAAGGTATTAAACATAAATTCTTTGATTTAATTGCATCAAAGTTCATACCAAGTCAGTAATGGATCTCTTGGAGCTGCATTATCTGTAGGCTATGCTATCAAAATAATATTCAGTAAATTAACACTGAAATGAAAAATAGAAAGTCATTATAATTATCATCATTGAATACAATTTTGAGGAGGGGAAGACCTTTTTTGTTTGTTGATATTAATAAAGGTGCAATTTTCTTCCTAAGATCTCTGAATTCTTAATGTACGCTTGATGTTATTTTTTTCAGAGTTAAAATTTTTGGTCTCTCTGCTTCTTCTTTTATTCAAAATGTTTACCAAAAAAAAAATCTTCCGCATTAAAACCCAATCCTTGGGTTATCATGTAAATGTGTATGGAAAGAACTCGTGCTCTTAAGACGTGAAGAGATTTCACTACAGTCTTTTGTTCATGAATATACGTTTCAAAGCACAAGTATACAAACTTTAGGGTATGGAGGGTGATTCTGTTTCACTGTAATTTTTTATTAAAAATAAAATGCATACGTCAATTAAGGACAACAAAAAATGCATACTTTTTACATAAATACTCTTCATATTGTTAAAGATAATTTTAAATCCTTGAAGAGTTTGGAATTAAGAATTGTATGCTTTCTATAAATATTGAACTACAAAACTTTATCTGAATAGTTCTGGATGTTTACTTTAGTCTGAAAGTGTATGGGAAGGATTTTTTAGTAGCAAATGGTTATAGCTTTTAATAGTAAGAGATGAAAATTATTTTCTTCCTTATTTACATTTATAATGCACAAAAAACTAATAACCTCTGAATATACATGTTTTTTGCAGATGGTTATGGTGGTGTTGGCTATCACTTTAGAGCCCTTTTTTCTGGACAACAAGGATTTTTGTCTGATGTAACTGGCTTCAAAGCAGCTTCCAAACTACTACTTAGGCTCCATGGAGCATTTATGATTGCCGCATGGATTGGAGCTGCAAGTATTGGTATTGTTTTGGCTCGCTACTTTAAACAGACTTGGACTGGAAGTCAGTTGTGTGGAAAGGATCAATGGTTTGCAGTAAGTTGATTGTTTCATAAAATAACCTGGTGTTATTTTGTGTAAGTTGGCAGAAAAAATCTATTGAATAGTGTTGAGTTGCTTTCATATATAGTCCGAACAAAATATAGGTTGGTAAAGGAAATAAATTTAAAGAAAAATGTTGCCTAAAGAAAATCTCTCAATTTGCTCTAAATCACTAAAAATGGTAAAAACGTCTTGTGGTACCAAAGAGACCATAGGTGTTTTTGTTTTGTTTTTCTTCCCCCTCATAGTCCATGATCTTGGCTAATTTATTGATATTTATTAATGTCAGGATGTTTGAAAAAGGTTTCATTGGTATTGAAATTCTTTACTTCATGCTTTAATTTGTATACTGGATTTATTTTTGTTTTTTTCAAAGATGAACAAATGCAGTATTGTAAGGAACAGTCTAAAAATTACTAGAAAATGTAATAAAATTCCCATATAAATGGAGCAGGTATCAGTTGTGGAAAAATGCACAAAATTTTTCATATTAGTATAAACTATAATTTAGTCTACCACAAGAAAATTAAAAGATTTTGATACATTAGAAACATTTCAATCTTACAGCAATAATACTATAGTATAAACGATTTATTTAATTTGATTTGATCAACCTCACAATTTCAGATCTTTAAATTACAATCAACAAATTTTAAATTTTTAATTACTATTCTTTAATTTCATTTCAGTGGCATCGCATATTCATGGTCCTTGTGTGGAGCTTAACCATAGCAGCTTTTGTAATCATCTTTGTAGACTTAAAGTCATGGGCTTCATCTTCCAAAAATCATGCAATTCTTGGTGTTATTACAACTGCACTTGCATTCTTTCAACCAATTGGTGCAATCTTCCGTCCGAGCCCCGACTCCAGAAGAAGACCGATTTTCAACTGGTTACATTGGTTCATGGGCAATTCTGCTCACATCCTTGGCAGTAAGTAACTTCATATTAATAATTGTTTCTGACCATTTTTGTGTCCCAGATTCTCGCACATTTGAAAATCATCAATAAAATTGAAAAGCAATAACTTGTTCCTTTCAAATTATATGTAAAATAAAAATTAAAATGTGAATAGGTAGATTTCAGACATTTTAGAAGAGTGGAAAGAATTCAGTTTTGTGGAAGTAGGTAATGATACAGTAATACTTTGTTCCCTCCCTACAACCAAAACTACCAAACCACAATATACTCCCAAGATAGAAGTGTGCGTGAGAACTTCAGGGAAATTTGACAAATGTAAACAAAAGATGTATGTAATGAGGGATGTTGAATTCCAATGCTGTTGCAACTACTAAACACAAAATATAATAGGCTGGATGGGTAAAATCATGGAACTTAACTCTCTGAAAAGTTGTGGATTCAGCTAGCGATTCTAGATTAGTTAAAATTGTAAAAGAGTATATCTCTGTCCTGACCAGAATTAGGAATTGATTAGAAAATTCATTGTTGTGTTGCATGTACTAGGATCAGATTTCTTATGCATGTGGTATCATAGTCAATTATAATGTTGCATTTTAATTGACGCATTTAAACTAATAAAAAAACAATAGGTTATCTTGGAATTTCTATTTTCTGTGCTTCCTCTTCCCTACCATTAAACCGGAAAGTAGGTTCTACTGTTTACTTTCTTTACACTGTTCAATAATGATACATCTTCTCTTACAGTTGTTGCCATCTTCCTTGCTGGTCAGCTACCAAAAGCTGAATTACCTAATTGGTGGATTTGGATTATGGTTGGTTATGTTGCCTTCCATGTTATCATGCATCTGATGTTTTCAGTAAGTTGATCACATTGTAATAAAAAAGTTTAAACTTTAAATGGATTGATTTTTGAACATTTTGCTAGTAGACTTCTAAATTGATTGATCTAAGTGAATTTTTATATTTTTTTTATTTGACCCTCAACTGACAGGTTTTGTTACAAAACCAGCGTCATGTCATTTTGATTCAAGTCTTAGTTTTGTTTTTGTTTTTTGTTTGTTTGTTTCTGTTTTTGTTTTATTAAGAAAATTTGTAATAAAGTTTGAACTGTTTTTGTTAAATCACATTTTTACGTGATTTGCAAAATCATGTACATAAAATAATTCATATTAATATATTTTTGCGTAACTGAATAATAAACAACTTTTTTGTTACACATTACTGATAAATAATCATAAATGAAACCACATTTTTTCCTCTAAACTTTTAAAGTCTTAATTATTTGGTATCATTTTCTGATACACACTTAACTATAAAATACAAACATTAATTGGAAAAATACTCACTGACACTCCTTATAAATGTTTCTGACATGCACAGCACATTGATCGGCAACATGTATCACAAACATTTGTAGTTTTCGATCATTTTTTCTGATATATATTGTGTACTGCTTCCTTTTCCTGAATTCTTGTAATTACATTCAGCACTAGGAATAGATTTGTTCCATATTCTCAAGACTGTTCTATGAAGTGCTCTAGGTAGGTGTTAAGTTCATTCCATCAAAGAGTCTGATGTTAGTCTGAGGCATGCCAGCATTTTCAAGAATTCTGGCTTTAGTGTCATTCCCATTGTGTATGTCTTCAGTGTCACTATAATCTCTTTTCCTCTCCTAATCATTGAGGCATAGCAATATCTTGGTTAGCACACGAGTCTTGAGAGAGAACACCATTTCAAGCACAGTTGCATAACAGGTGTGGTAGTGCCTCTGTGACCCCCAACAAATCTTTTCACTAATGTCATTGCAAACCAAATGAATGAAATTCAACAGTACTTCTCAAATAAACATATAAGCATGTGAATTGAAGGTAAACAGCATATCAAAGTTCTAATTTGAAAAATGGGCAGGATATTAGACTACGAAATTTGAGTTGTCAAAATGGCACAAAGCCAGTTGAGGGATAAAAAAAAAAAATTATAATTTTTTAAAAAATTCTGTAGAATCTAATTTTTGTAACAAATTTGTTAGAGCTAATGGAACATATGATTTTTAAATCTTAAATTTAATTATCCAACAGGTTGCTGGATGTATCAGTGAACGTCAAAGTAGCAAAAGAATAAACTCCTTCCCGTTGAAGGAGATGAGCAGCAGTCGCACACCACTGTCTTCTGCAGAACGAAGGCAAGAAGCACCTGTAAGTATAATAAATTTTAGCTGAAGGACATTAACAGTATTTTTTTCCTTCCCAATATTGTACTGAACATTTCTATTATCAATTAAAACAAGTTTGTGCTTCATATAGTGGAGAAATCACCTGGACAAAATAAGAACATGAGAAATGAGAGGTGGAGTGAGGCAGGAGATATTACCTTCAGTGAAGCTTGTTTTAGGAAATTGAAAAGAAACTATTCTTTTCTGCATGATATACTTAGACAAAAAAAAAAGTCTAAAATATGGTACAAAAAATTTGAAAATGGAAATTTGGTTCAAAACTGAGTACTACAGGAAATGTCAGACAGTGTTTCCTCAGTCTGTTCTGTCCTGCAGTACTCTTTGACAGCTTACATGTGATGTAGAGTAAAAAAATGTAATCATTTTCAATATATAGAAATTAGAACTATTTAATAAGTAATTTATTTGCTATGATATTTTTAGCATTATTTTGACATATTAATACACTAAATTTTACAAGAACTGATGGAATTCATACTATAAGAAAAAAAACTTACCCCATAGAAATTTTTTTTCTTAACTATACTTAAAACAAAATATACTTGTTATTCTCAAAACTTCAAGCTTGTCTTCTTTCCACTCAAATTTTAGAATATTTATTGGGAATAACCATGGATAGATAACATTGTACAATTTCAGAACCGAATTCCTCCAAGTGGTGCCAAATGATATTTAATGGTAATTTTCATGGCAATTTTTCATACAAACTACTCTGGCAAAGCACTGGGCAAAAAAGTATTAATGCATTAAAGTAAGCTTTGTGCAATTTGACAAATTGCAACATAAGACTGGTGGAATGATTAAAAAAATTTAGATTTTTTCCCCTTCATATTAATGCTAGGATTTTATTCCTCATAAAGATCATAACAATTTTAAAATTTTTAATCAATTGACGGAAAAAAAATCTTGTTAAGATAATATAATTCTAAATGTTGGAATCTTGTTAAAAAAGCATAAACCAATTGTTTTTATTGTTCTTTCCAAAGTGTCGTATTAGATTTTGTTAACGAGTTCAATTAATTGAATGAATCCAAATTTATGGATTGAAAAGCTTTGTAAAATGTGTACTGATGTGTTATTTTGTCTTTCGCAGCCAAAAAGCAAATGGAATTTCCAAACGGTTTGAAACTTTTTTTCTTGTATAATTAGTTTGTGTGTAGAATTTTTTTTCAATTAACTTCTTTGAAGTTTGAGAGTAGTAGTTTCAAAAATAAGCATTTCAAAAAGAAAACCTCAAAACATATTCATTGAAAAAGTCTAATCTTGCAGAAAGAGATTATTTTAATTGTAAAATGAATAAAATTTAGAATTACAGGCAATTTAAAGTACCATAATGAAAGCCTGTAATGGTTTGTCTAAAATGACATGCTTAAAAGGAATATAATCTTGATCTCTAAAAGTTGGTTTCTTGTTCTGAAAGAGAAGGCAAACAAGCCTTTGTAAATTGTTAAATGGTTAATTTTTTGTGCTATTTTATATATTTATTTATTTATTTATTTATTTATTTACTTATTTATTTATATATTTATTTTTTTTATTTTCAGCATGCCTGCTTTCGGAAGTTCCTATTGGCTCTCTACATCTTCGGTATTCTTGTGATCACTATTGCCTTGATTGTGATTGCTGTTCTGGCACCAATAGAATCAAATTCAACAATCACAAATTTTCAAAATTGGATTTCTACAAACCGCAGTGGTTAAATGTTCATAAAGAGGACCTTGATTTAAAGGTTGGTTTTCAAAGTGAAGTCTGAATAGATGATATCTGATGTTTTAACTTTCTATAGTGGAAAGTATTTTAGTTTTCCTTATTTATATAGATTGTACATATGCTAGACTATTATCTGAAGAAATTATTGAAGTCTATTTGGTGCAATTTTTAAATTGGAGGGGGGCGGGGGGGAGAACAACTCTTGTCACTTCATACAACTTCAGTTACCGAGATTAAAAGTATTTGTACTTAAATACCCATGTTTCGAATGAAATGCCAAATTCACTTTAATTACAGATATTAAATTCAAAGAAATGGAAGTTCAAGGAACATGTATTGACCATCCTTTTCAGTGCTAAGGAGAAAGTGTTTTTCGGTCACTGGAACCATTAAAATATTTGTAGGATCATTTTAGATTTTACGCTGTTCTTGAGAAGCAAATGAAAATAGGAAAGTTTCCTATAATAATAATAATTTGTAACTGGTAATATGTGCAACTTTACTTGTATAATAAGATTCATTGTGTATTAGTTGTGTTCGTTTTGTTACGAGTGAATATCTACTTCAGGATATCTTTCAAATGAACTTGTGCAATAACACAGTGTAGTTTGCAATGTATTAATAAATTAAATATATACTAACTTTGTAAAGATTGTTTGTATACTTTTTAAGGGTGAGATCAATTTGTAATATGATGGCAGTACAATATATCTTGTGTGTGTTTTATAAGTATACTTTTGTTGTGAATGGAGAATGTTCTTGTCAGGTTTTTGATGTCTGAAATAATTATTTTTATCAATTACTTACTTTGTTAACTACGTATTAAGTTTCATGAAATGTTAACATCAGAATAGCGAGTACAAATGAAAGAACCGAACTGAAATGTAGGAGACAGGATTTTGAAAATGTGGTCCATTATATTGCAGAAGGCCTCCAATTTTATGCGGAGGTTTGTTTACAGTATTTGCAAAGGTTTTGTATCATTTAAGATATTCTAATTCGAGGTAAGATTTTGAAGTATTTTTCTCAGTTACCAATACAGTACATATTACTTACTTCAATTTTATGTCAACAAATGCTTCAATTTGAAATGTGAAGAAGTAAAAACAAAGTAGTATACAGCACAACTGTGTAAAACTTTATAAGAATAAAATATTACAGCTATTCTCAATAATTATCTAAAACGAAATTTTGTACCTTTTCCTGTTTAAACTGATTATTTTCCAGTATTCCTATTAAAACATTTCTTTTACACATCCTAAATCATTAAACAGAAAATTTTCATAGATTTTTTTTTCCTTCCATTGCATCATTTAACATTATTTTTAGTGTATTGGCAGTAAAAATTGCTATGAAGTTGGTGTGGATTTATGCATGAAATTTGGAAACTTTGCATGTTAATATACTGTCCAAATAAATTAATTTCCACCTTTAGTTAATTAAAAAGTACTGTTTGTGCAATTGCTCATTCTAACTCTTATGCTTTTTACTTCCTTAAGTACACGTCTCAGAGAAAGTTGTCCATTGCTGTAAAAATTATTAGTCTTATGGAAATAAGGTTTTTGAAGTCCCTATTAATGAAAAGCTGTTTCCTATAGGTTCATATGTCTGGACAACACTTGCACCTAAAGGCTGGCTTGTGGCTAAGAGTGAAGTTGCTCGCCTTTCACAAAGGAGGTCCATGTTAGATTCACATCAATTCGCATCTCGTGTGAAAGGGTATAGCCAGAGGAGGCAGTGAAAAGTGCCTGCAAACCAAAACGATAACTGCGATGCTTGTACCAAAGAGAAGCATAGGTGTCATATTAGCGGGAATTTTTAATGCCAAAATTATCTCGCCATTGAAATAGAAGTTGGCACTTTTTTACTTATTGCATTTTTTTCACTTCAATTACACCTTCATTCTGTTATTTTTAGTTGGTCACTGTTGAAAATTCACTTTATTACACTTTAAAAATGTTTCTCAATACTTCTTGAACCATACAACATTGTGTCCAACGTCTGGTCTCGCTTTTCAACCGGTGGCTGTGTTGTGGTCAGGTGTTTCATGACGCAAAATGATGCTGCGCAGAAAGTGCAAAAATCGGTGCCCCGGAGAAGTCCATCAGTCTCTTTTTACCATAGGAATATCGGGAGTAAAACGATATTATTGTGAACGTGCGAACTGAAGTAACACTCTGGGATGCTACTCCCATATAAGTGCGATCATTTATTAGGCACAAACTTGTTAGTTTGCAAAAATTGTTGCACCAAAACTTACTCAGAAATTTTGAGTAGACTGTTTATGAACGAACGTATGATCCCAGTTATCCCAGATCCTTACCTCTATCCTAATTCCTTCCAAATTCTGGTCCAATCTTAGACTTGGGAATGTGAATTCTAATTTGTCTGTCGGGTCTCTCGCTCTTTTTCGTTCCTTTTAGTCACTCTCGCTCCCCTCTCTTTCTTCCTCTTTGTCTCGTCTCTCTCGTCTCTCTCTCGTGTCTATCTCTCTCGTGTCTCTCTCTCGTCTCTCTGTCTCTCTCTCTCTCGTCTCTATCTCGTTTCTCTCTATCGCGTCTCTCTCTCTATCGCGTCTCTCTCTCTCTATCGCGTCTCTCTCTCTATCGCGTCTCTCTCTATCGCGTCTCTCTCTCTCTATCGCGTCTCTCTCTCTCTATCGCGTCTCTCTCTCTCTCTATCGCGTCTCTCTCTCTCTCTCTCTATCGCGTCTCTCTCTCTCTCTATCGCGTCTCTCTCTCTCTCTATCGCGTCTCTTTCGTCTCTTTCTCTCTCTCTCTCTCTCTCTCTCTCTCTCGTGTCTCGCGGAAAAAGGAACATGACCTTACTTGAAAATTTGTTTTTGAACAGATTTCATTAAAGAAGAAATTCTTTCTTCATTATTGTAGTTGTACGAAGAGGCCGAATACATTTTGTACCTTTCGCAATTTTCAAAAAATGAGGGACTTAAATCAAAATGAGAGCCGCTACATTTCTTTGAGGTGTTTACACTATACAAGGACAAAGTTTAATTCAAAAATTTGAATTACTTTTTAAGACAATTTGGAAAATGTGGCTTCATACTAGCGCGGCATCGTTTCCTTCTGGTCGATCGAGGAATATCAATTTTGGAGAAAAGGCATTTAATTAAAAAAAATTCGCAAACATGGCTAAATATTTCCTTTAAAGAATTTTTTCTCGGAGAGAAAAGAACACTTAAAAACAGTACATTCTCATTAATTTTCTTGAACTCTGAATTTTAGAAAGTTGCAAGTTACAAATATTGTGAGAAAGTATTTACTAATTTGTGTGTTGTATGTCTTCTTAGTTACTGATTAGTAATTATATATTCCAAAATAAGTATTCTTGTCTTTGGGCATGCAGCATGCACATTTATATACTTTTTGATTCCTGTATTTAATTTTATATGGATTATCCACTGTTCCGAAATATTGTGGGTACCCTATCCTAGTTCGAATTTCGTTTAATGCTTTACATCCAGTGTACGCTGTGAAACGATTTACCAGCCTAGCTATATTTCGACCTTGGCCTAGGAGTTTCCACATCTGAGTTTGATCATTGTTTTTTCCTAGAAGTTTTATCAAGTTTATAGAATTTTATTAAGTTAAAAAAAGTTTTATTAAGTTTTTAAAATAAACCCCTTAAAATCACAATGTAAAGTATTCACTCTCAGATGTCCCCCCTTCCCTACACCCCTGCGAATAAATACTCCGATGTCCCCTGTCTTTCTCATTCTTCGCCAGCCAATGGCGCAATTTAGCACCAAACCATATATCCGTTTTACAGACAATCCAAAATAAATATCTAAGACAAACCTTGAAAGCCCCCCTGGTTCACTTCAAATTCACATATCCACCGAGAGTTTCAAATACCTCTCCTCTCAAAATTCATCTCACAAACCTCTGAAAAATATTATTCTCTCCTCCCAGCATGCCCCAATACTCTAATATTCAATCTCGGCCAAAACGCACATTATCCATCGCGCATTAGATCCAGATTCCTCAAAGATCTCTTTCGCCCACACTAATTCATAAAATTATTTGCCCCCTTTTCCCACAAACACTCTCCCCCTCCTCTAAACCACAAATGCAAACTTCTCATAGTGAAGATATCCAAAGATGAAATTTTAAAAATATAGTGAAAGGTTATTCCGAGACCCGCATTTGCCTGAGGATGACCAAGTAAAATCATTGTATGTAACATTGTACCCGTCAAAACCCCCTAAAGACAAAAGTCGAACGGGAAGAAAATTAATAAAGGAAAATTTTATCGCTCTCTTTCGGATACGGTCTAACAAGCTTATCTGCCCAGCCCTATATGGGTCCCAACACGCGGAGCGGTTTCCATTTCCGGACGTACGAGGGAAGTATACGCTAAGCGCTATGTGTTCGCGTTTTCTTTCTTCAATGTCCACATTACAAAATGGAGTAATTTCCAAGCTTTGCGCACAACGTGAAAAATGTAGTCAGACCAATTCAGATCGCTTCGAATAACTACTCTTCAAATACTTGAAGCTACTCACCTCAGGCACCGGTTGATCTGAAAGTGTGTATTTTAGTCTCATTGTCCCACGCTTCGTACCGAAGTTTTCAGCTCTTCTTATTAGCTTCGGATTAATTTTCATTTCATTTTCTTCCGCCAAATTGAGTCAAAATGTCTCATAATTTCGATGAATTGTATCAGATGCTCATTTTCCATCCTCTGCGTTCTCGCCGGTTGAGGTGGGTGAGGCGGTTCAATTAGGTCAACAGCAAAAGGGTAGTGGAGTAAGATAGGCTAAACAGCCAAGGCGTAGTCCGCAAATCCTTGGGAGATCCTTGGGGGGGCTCCACACGTCATTTCTTCTTTAATTCTCCAATTGTCTCTTTCAAATATAACACTTGTCTCGCTTCGGCAGTCTCTATAAGATTATTTATGCAGACTGGGATATTCTGTCTTTCTAATGCATCTTTTACATATTCTCTACTCAAGGAGTTGATGCGTGCCGAATGTCTATTTCAATAAGGGCGCAAAAGCCTTTCTTCCTCCCGCTATTTTCTCTTGGCATTTTTACCACTTCGACTGCTTCTCTGCTAGCGTCGATCTGCCTGTAACCTCTACGCCAATTATCCGAGCTGGTTATGAGCGAAGCTGCTCTGTCCTATTATGTGCTTTTCCAAGCGCTTAAGAATCAAGCCTTCCAGCTTTTTGCCCATGGTATCCAAATGAGGACGAGCACCAGGCAGCGCAAGAGGGTTTTCGTGGTAACCGAGGACATTCCAGATCCCAAACACTGCATCTGGCGTGATGCGCGAACGTGATCTTCGCGGGCGGCGTTGGCGGACGGCGACTACTTACCAGCGAATGCTACTGTAACGTATTAGCCAGCGTGCCTCATGGCATCTATTTGGGGACGCTTGGTAGAGGATTAGCCTCGCCACAGGAAGAAGGGTTTTTCCGTAAAGGCAAGAACGCGGAAACGGGAGACACAAGGCTTTGGCGTCTTCCGGCTTATAGAAACCCTTCGCTGTTATAACAAGCGGGGGCGGTGGCGTGACGTAGTAGGTCACGTGGGCCTCGCCTATATAACAGAGTGTACAGAGCCAGTGGGTGGGTTCTGGAGACAGTGGGAGAACCTCGTGCGTGTGCACAAAAGTTGGCGCCACGACGGTGCATATGCGAGCCAGGCTCGCGAGGCTCGAGTCACTAGTTGACGAAGCCTGCGGACTTTACGTCCTTGGGTGACTGCGGTCACGGGGGAACGATGCTGTGTGCGTGCTCCGAGGGGAAGAGTGGTTGAGTGCCACGATTCACGCCGATTCTCAATCGGATAAGATCGCTCCTGCGATCGAGGCAAACCAGCCGTTGGTGCGCCAGAACGGACTTTGTGTCCCAGCGTGTCATCCGGTCACGGAAGCTAGGCTTTGTGCGCGCTTCAAAAGTAGGAGTGGCCAATCAAAACCATCTTCAATCGGGTTTGGATCACTCCCGCGATCAGGGGATAGTAGGTCTATCAGAGCTAGGGTGTAAGTAGATTATTAAGTGTATATATTTGTTTTGTTTTCTTGTTAATAAATATATTTGTTATATGAAAGCTCTGTGTCTGTGGTCGCTGTGAGTATCCATGACGTCACACTACGTATTGCCACGTTTCGTTCGGGGTGTCAGAAGAAATGACCGTGTGACGGGATTGTAGAT